GTTATAACCTTTCTTTTTCCTTTTAAAGAAATTCCTTTACCATTTTCTGAGGGTGATTTAGTGGTGGTGAACTCCTCTAACCTGTGTTTATGTGACACGCTCTTTACTCCTTCAGTTCTGAATGATAACCTTGCCAGGTAGAGTATTCTTGGTTGAAGGGCCTCCTGTGTGGATGCCAGCTGGGGCCAAGCTGGCAGGGTGTTTGGTGTCAAAGAAACACAGTCTGGGGAGCTCCCAGGTGGGCAATGGGCTGGACCTTCTCTGGTAGGGCAACTGGAGTCACAGGAAACTGTCTGGGGGTACCCCAGAAGGGTGGTGATAGCCAGGGCTGTGATAATGGGGTGGCTAGAAGTAGATGGTTGCAGTCTGGGAGTCTCCCAGATTTGCAGCTGGCTGGGATCACGCAGACAGCAGCAAGGAACAGGAAGGGTGTAGGCAGGCTAAATCCACATGAGTGTTGTGCTCGTCCCACCTTGGTGGGACTGCTAAATCTCTGACAGGGTTTTGTGGTGTGTGGAGGCTGGGAGGCCACGTTTCACATCTGAAACTGCTTTGTTCACTCTGGCCCTGCTCTTGTCCATAGTGTCAGTATGCTTAGGTTATTTCCTGACACATTTTTTTATTGTTTTTGCTGTATATATGTGTGTGCATGCACATGCATGCATGTGTATATTATGTTGATATAATATACAATGATGTTTGTATCCTGTTTGCTTGGCAACTTACAGGGTTCCTTTGAATCAGCATTTGTTGACCACTTGGTGTTGTCAGCATTTACCTGCAGATCTTAAACTGGAAGGCAAGCCCCTGAAAAGCTTTTACTCACTGACATGACTATTCAAATGCAACTGTCTTTTAGACTGGGGGTTCACCTGTTCCTCTTGGTAGGTTCTTTACATGCAAGAGATTTTTTTTTCCTGGACAATGTAAACAACCTGTGAATTCTTGTCTTACTAGAAGCAGAGCATAAAAGATTATATATAATCCCCAGAGTATACTGTTCCCAGTGTTTTTTGAGCGCTTTCTTCTAACTAACTTCAAGTCCTATTGCCCATTCCCTGTTGCACAAGCTGCATTGCAATCTTGGGAGCTGTATACTTTTTTAATGGATATAGAGTGAGAAGGTGTAGGAAACAGGAAGCAGCTTCACTGCCTCAGGAAGCCATTACCATTGTAGGGGAGTGACTGACAGCTTTAGTGGCCAGCTGTCTAGGCCCTAGGTCCTGGATATAATGGCACACCATGTATGGTTCCTAGAAAGATCCATCCATTTCCTCTCTTGGCAGGTTAATATTTTAGGAGTTTAGATACTAGTCAGTCACTGAATATTCTCAATCTAGCCAGCTGCCCTGAAGTTAGGTAAAATCTTTCTCAGATGCTAGGAAATCTTTGATTGGTACTCCTAAGTTCAAATGCTGCTATAACTTTCAGTCCTTTTTTTAATATGGGAGAAGGGATATTTCCATAGGAGATTTAGAGGGATAAATCATGTGTGGCTAGCTACCTCCCATATTACCCCAGAAATCATCTCAGTTAAAGGTTAATCAAAAAGCAAAATGTTTCTGTCAGTTCTCTAAGATGAATACATATGTAATGCTCTGGGAAATTTTTTACTGCTCTCCATATATTGATTGTAAGCAAAATATATTAATCTTCAAAGTAATCATCATCTTTATGATGTTATCTGCTATACACCTCAATCAAACGTGCACAAGGCAGTTGGATGTTTTGATAAACTGTCACTTCAAGGTAACCAAGCACGTGTCCTGTATACTCCACCTCTACATAAATACCTTTGGCCCATACTGCTTTTACTTGTTTTCACTAATGCTTATTGGTCAAGTCTTGTGTATAAGAAAACACTATGCTGGAGGCAGTCTGGGTTAAGATGATACTCAAGCAAAAACTAAACACATTCTGGAAGAAACAGATTCATACACAAGAAACACACAACGCTGAAGCGAGACGGAGGAGGACAAATCAAGAGACGGCAGACTCAGTGTAAGAGAGATGGTTCTGAACTTGCATTGCCTGAATTCCAATCCATAATCACATTACTTGTTCTGTGACCCTAGGGAGAAAAATATTAGGAAAGGAAAGCAACGCTTAATTACAATAGATACAGGGAAGGAGTCAGACTTTAGAAGCACCAATTCTAAACAGAACAAAACACATATTCCTAAGGTTACATGGTATTATGCTCTTCTTAGTGGGAATAGCAGCTTTCCCTACCTGACCTTCCTACTTCCAGAGGTCATAATAAACTTCAGACATAACATGGTTAAAAATTGTTTTGCTAAGTTCAGATTTCAGAGACATACACAAGGTTTTAGGTTTTAGAGATCAGAAACAGTGTAATTCTGTGATTTTTTAGTTTTTCTCAAGGTACAAAATATTTTGTTCCTTCTGACTGTAGTATGTGAAGTGCTTAGTGATATTGGGAGCAAGGCAGAAGTGTCATTTTTGTTTCTTCTACATCTCCTAAATCGTTTTTGTGTTTCTCATACCCACGCATTTCAATCCTTTCTTATGCCACTTAAGAGTCATCTTTCCAAATTCATCTGATAATGTCATTTCCCTCTGCAGAAATCTTAGCCACGTCCTTAATAGTCTACATGCAAAAGTCACAGTTCCTTAGCTAGAAGCCATCAAAATCTGGCCTTGATCCATGTTACCTTGGTTGTCCCTTGGCACCTCCTCAATTTCCATCCTATTTCCCCTCCGTGTAGGTTCCTGTCCCTCCACTAACACTGTCTTGTTAAGGTCACAGTAATGTTTGTCAAGTCCCATAGTCTCTTTTCTGGCCTTAGAAGCTCTTTTACTGCATTTACCAGCATCAGTTACCCTTCACCCTTCAAGCCTCCTATTCCCATGGTTTCCTTGACAATGTCCTGGCTTTACTTCTACCTCTGTTTTCTCATTTGTTCTAGTCATAAAATTTACATTTTTTCTTCCACTAGTCCCCTATATTTTGGTGTTTCCCAGGTTCTATTCCCTGATGCTTCTCTTTTCATTCTACATAATCTCCCTGGATGATCTTACCTTTTCTCATGGTTGTGACTGACTCCTTCCTACATGCTCATGACCCCAAATCTAATGTCCAGTCCAGGTTTCCAATAACCTGATGAACATTCCTAGATGGAAGCTCTACAAGCACTATAAGCTCAAACTTAACTGAATATACAGTCCCCGCCTTATAATTCCTTTCTCCTTTTGGGCAGAAACACCATTCACCCAGACAGCACAAATAAAACCTTGGGACTTAACGATTTCTCTTCCCTATCTCTCACTCATCAGTCACCAAGCCCTGACAGTTTCTCCTCTCTCAGTATTTTTCAGATCCATTCCCCCTTTCTATCTCTACAGCTGCTTCCCTAGTTCAGACATCCATCACCTCTGACTTGGGTCTATTATTTGTGAATAATTGGGGAAAAAAAAGATGTGATAAGCATAGTATTAGTTTCTTTTAATTTTTATTTTTGTATCTTTATATCATTTATGGTATATTTTCTACGCTGTACTTTTCATCCCCTTGACTTATTTATTTTGTAATTGGAAGTTTATACCTCTTTATCCCCTTCACCTATGTTGTCCATCTCCCCACCTGCCTCCTTTATGGCAACCACCAGTTCTCTGTACTTATGAGTCTGTTTCTATTTTGTTTGTTCATTTGTTTTGTTTTTTAGGTTCCACATAAAAGTGAAATCGTACTTCCATTTATCTTTCTCTGACTTATATCACTTAGCATAATACCCTCAAGGTCCATTTATATTATGAAATTTGTGGTATTCTTAATAGGTATTAATTCTAATTAATTTAGTATATAATAATGTCAGAACATCTATCTTTTATTTAAAGAAGCAGTCAGTGATAATCTAATTCCTGGGATTAATTTGTATAAATCATGTAACTCTCATGACATACATTGTTATTTGTGATCCTCAAAGATCCATGATTACAACTTTAATTTACTTTTATTAGCTAGTATCATGACAAGCTAGGTGAGTGGCCCGGCTAAAATCTAATAGAAGCCATTATCCATTTCCAAGACCACCATTCATTTATTTTGAGTTGCCACTCAGGGCATTATTATGTATGTACATTACGTATTTGTGTTCAGTAATGCAAAATTCAGAGCTACCTAGATGGAGGATATATTATGAAGACATGATAGGAAATTGGGTCAGATGATGTACTGAAAATTCCCTTCCTCCCTGAGTGTTGTATCTTTTCACTTTTATCTCAAGCTATGCTTTCAATTTGCAAGCCTTTAGTTATAGTTCAGATGAAACAGGGTTTCTTAAGGGAACTTAACACTTGATATTTCTGATGTTTGTAAATGATACTATTATTCAAGGTTTAAAAGAAATGGTCTTTAATCATAAAGCTGGCATAATTAAACGTATCCTCACTTGTTCATCTGTTTGCCTAATTAAATCCTTTATTTACCAAGATGCTTGGTAAACAGAACTGCTTATGGAAGATAATTCCTCTATGGCAAAAGCTCACAAACTGACTCAAATAAGATGTTAATAAGTTCACTTGTTTAATCAACATGCAGTGAAAGGGCCTCTTGCTTACTTAATCACTGTGAGAGGAATACAGGTATAAAAAATATTCTGGCTGGAATATATCATTTCAGGAACTGCAATAAGCAGGGATGTAGTTACTGGAGAAGGGAGACTCCTGTGTTACTGCTCTCCAACCATGCTAGATTCCACTGGGAATTGCACTTTTGTGCACACACCACACTCTAACATTTGGGAAGAATGATGCACATCTCCCTGTGGCAAATCACATCCTAATTAAGCCACTTCACATTTGTGAATGAGAAATTTTTAAAAGGCTGATATTGCTTTCTCTTTCAATTAAGAGATTGTGGAGGTTTTTCTTTTCATAAATGTAGTTGAGGAATTATTTCATTGCTGATGTTAGAGGACATACTGTTATGTGAATTAATTTGATCTGTTTTAAAAGTACTTAACGTTTTTGTCTTGCAGGCACTTTTCATGTCTGTCATCCAAATACATGTGCCCTGGGGTCCCTGCTGTCATGAGCACCTTGCTGGCGAATATAAATGCTTTCTATGCTCATACAACTATTTCAACCAATGTACAGGTTTCTGCCTCAGATCGATTTGCTGCTACCAACTTTGGTGTAAGTACTATTTTTTTAACTTTAAAATTCCTAGTTGCCTGTGGGAATTTCCATTTTCAAGGGGCTTTGGATTCCAGATATTCTTGAAATCTTAATGCAGAATGGACATCTTAGAGATCTCTTAGTATATAACAGGCTAAAGCTAAAAGTTCATTTAAACATAGTCAGTGAAATAACTTTATATGGCAGTCAGTAGGTATCTTTATTAGATTAAATCTCCATATCTGAAACAACCTTTTCCGGGGGAGGGGAAACATACATTTTGTGAGCAAGTACTGGGATTTTGTAGGAAATTCTCCATGTGCACCAATTTGGGATTCACCGTTTCAGATACTGTTCCTGGTAAGCGGTTTGGTTGACTTCTCTGGAGCTTTTAGGCTCCACTTGTACTTCCTATTGTCTCCTACTTCTGTTGAGGAATAATTGCATATCTTATAAGAAAAAAATAGTAGGTATGGCTGAGGGAACTATCTGTACCTTATTAAGACTGTCCACCTGAAGTATTCAAATGTATCAAGAAAGCACTGAAATGTAGAAATGCAGGGATCCTGAGAATTCTGAAATACTTCTCTGTTGCACCTGTCACTGGATCTTGTCTACAAGCATAATTAAATTGAAACTGACAAGACTGGAAATAGAATATAAACGGACAGTAATCCCAGTAAAGTGGTGAAGATCTAAACTAAGAATTAGTGAAGATGGAGAAGAAAGGACAAATTCTGGGGCTTTTCAGGGCATAGAATCAACAGCACTTGGTATCTTTAGAAAGATGGACAGTAAAGGAAAGGCAGATTCCTAGAAAGATTCCCAAGGTTTGGTCAGGAAAACTGAAAAGGCAACAACTCTCTTCAGTAACCCTGGGAGACAGGTATTTTCATTCACACTTTTGTGTTTTTTGTGGAGGAAAATAACATCCATTATAGGAAAATGATTTCTATGACACACTAGTTACTTTTCCCACTGCATTTTTTCCATATTAGTTCACTGAATAAACTTTTGTTATTGATTATGCTGTTAGAAATTAAATTTTGGAGTATGTGTGTAGGGTAGAAACAAAGGAAACCCAGGGAATAAAAGGGTATAAAGCCAGTAAAAAAATTGCTCTTACTTTTACTCTTTTCTTGTCCTTTTCATCTGAAGAAAATGCATATGAGGTATGTGAGATGAGCTGAAATGAATCAAAGGAAAAAGTAATGGTTATTTAATGAAAAAGACAAAACAAATCCTAGTAGAAGAAATCACTATCTGGATCAGGAGTTATAGAGTTGGAGTTTTCAAATTTAGCGACTCAGTTCAGTTATTCAAGCCTCGGTTTCCCAATCTGCTCAATGTTGTCAACAATGATTTCTCTAGCATGTCTCTCAAGTTTAAGATGAAAATCAAATAAGGTAAAAGATGATAAGCCAGTTTGTAAAAGTTTGAAGTGTTCTATAAATACATGGTATGAATATTTTCTCTCTCCTGCCTTTCCTCCAGTATAAATAATATTCCATTAACTACTTTTCTTAGATTGACTGTTATAAGAGCTGAGACCAAAGAACATTTCCTCTCAAGATACTATTATAACCAATATCAGATCATAGAACAGTTTTGTTATAAAAAACCTCCTTTTGGTGACAGTATCCACTGTCTTGGGATTTTACCCATAACATAAAGCATTCAGTGTTATGAAATTGTTTTGCTTTTAATATTCTGCTGGGGTACATTGGAGAAAATAAGCCAACCTTGTGGAACACTGAGCCTTCCTACCTCTGAGAAAGAAGATGTGTTTATATGATTATTATCCACCATAAAAGCTACCTGGAGAAAAATGACACAGCATTCTGCTTTATTTCATACAGACCCAGAGAAGGGAAACCCACTTGATTTTAGGACTTTTCAGTGTTTCATGGCAACATGGTTATAACAAACTTCATTTTGTAAATCAAATAACTTATTGTAGCAGGGGGTCAAAAAAAGAACTTTTTATTCAAACTACATTTTGACAAATTGATGATGTAGAATGTAAATTTGATTATATTTCTCTACGTATTGAAAATAATGCTATCTGATCAAATAGATCTAAGTATTATATCTCCCACCTCCAATTTAGGATCTGAAGTTCTTATTCACCTGAGTTTTGAAGCTAATACTGTCAATTGTGACTCAGAAACATCATTATATTGGTCCTCCATTATTTTCTCAAAGATTGAACCCATACACTTTGATTTTCCAAAAAATGAACCAGTGGAAAACTTTCTTACCTATGAGGATTATAAAACAAATTAGAAAGCTGTTACACTCACAAATTCAGGCTTTTGTGTACAAGTGTTATTTGAAGTCATGGTTTGGATTAAAATGGAAAGGACAGATCCACTGGGTGTCGAGAGGAGAGACAAGCAAAATTTGCTGAGGAAAATGGTTATAGAAATTAGATGAAAATGATAATAAAAATGTGGTATGATGAAAGGCATTATGATACTTTAAGAAAAGAGGAGTTACATAACATTGTCAACTATCACAAAATTTTCAAGGAAGATGGGGAAAGAAAGGAGCCCACTGTTTTAGCAATCAGGAGGTGACTGCTTAGTGAGAGAGTTGAGGCTGAAGCCTGATTTCATATGGTTCTTTGGTGAATGGCATAGATGAATAGTTCTTTAAATTAGGGCCTACTTATTCACTAAAATACACTGTAGTTATTAAAAATCAAGTTTTTAAAGAAAAGCTCATAAAATTTACCAAGATCCATGGTATAATGATACATTAAAAAATATACAAAACTGTATATACAATCTAATTCCAACATTGGAAACATGTTTGCACACATGTGCACACGTGTGCACACACACAGTTTACAAATAGTACTGGAGAGAAATGCTTCATAATTCCAATGGTGCAACCACTTGGTAGGATTATAGCTAATATTTTATTGCTTTGTTTTCTATCCATCTTTAAACTTTTCTGTTAACATTTTCTGATTACTAATTTTATAATTAAAAGTGTGAATAAAAGAGCAAAAGCGGATGAGGAAATATAGTCTGTTCTGCTAAGGAACTTGAATAAGAATGATAAAATAGAAACTGGTCTAAAGTGAGAAGGTTTTGCCTGTGAAAAAGATTTTTACTGTCTGGTTGGGTGGGGACTTTTTATTTAATAAGATATGCTTAAACATGTTTATAGATTGTTAGGAAAGGAACTAGCTGCAAAGGTGAAGTTGCAAATTTATCAGAAATAGAATAAATGGTATAGTAACATTACAGAGGAGAAAGAAAGTGTGGTTAAGAGGAGAGAAGGAGTGACATTCTTAGGAATAATAAAGGACATGTTCTGTTCTGAAATCTAAGGAAATAGGTGAGAGTTCTTGCAGAGAACACCAAGCTTTTTATTTAGGAGTGAGAAGTTGGGGAAGTCATACCTTATTTCCCTATCTTCTCTACAGTTGTCTATAAGGGCAAAGAATGTTTATCTACAAGATGAAGGCTATAATAGACACATGGGTAAAGAAGGTTAGTAAAGATTTGGATAAGCTACTGGAGAGGATATAAGAGGAATATTTCAAGGCCATGTAAGAGGAATTCCTAGTAAAGCAGAAAGTCTCATGTGATATTGGGAGGCATAGATTTGTTGTCAAGACAATTGATGTGGCTGTGAGATTTTCTCAGCATTTTGATACCGATGTAGTAACATACAGCAGATGGTTAGACTGACTCTAGGTTGAAATTTTGCAGAATTTTGGAAAGGTGAGGAAGTTAATATATAGATGATGCTGTCAAGAGAAAAGATGAAGTGATTCACCATGGGGTCTAGATTTGATAAATGGCACCACAAGAAAGAGAGACAGAGACAAAGGATTTTGACCTCATACATTTCAATACAGATTTTCTGGGGGAAGTCTCAGGTCCAAGATGTAGCTCTGGGAGTAAACTGTTGAAAATTAAGTGTAAAACAGTGTACTTTAGATTGCTGAATTTTCAGGAGTATATCATGCTGTTTGTTGAACACAGCCATCCTTGAAACTGGAAATACTGAGAGTAATTATATCATGGAAATCAGCAAACACTAAAATCCAAGGCTTTTTTCTTTTGGAGAGACAGTTTAGCAGCACACCGTTGAGTGTACATGTTCTGTGGAGTCAAGAAAATCAAAGAACTTTATTGGGAAAATGTCTCCCTGGATGTTGAGGTCAAGCATTTGAAAGGAGATACACTCCTTGAGGTGGGGGTCAATATTTCAACTTCAAAGAAAAGTCTTTAGATAATTAACTTAGTGAGTTATCCTAAGGAACAGATAGAAAATAAATTGTTAGTTCAATTGATATCATATGGCTCAACTTTTCCCCTGAGGTTATATACCTTCTTTGACACAGCCAGTGCTGGGCAAAAACGAATATACTAGTAAATGCTTCTTTGCAATTACATATGTTCTTTTATTTAGCCACTTGTTCATTCAATACATATTTTTGAGATACCTCATGTAAGGCACCATGGCAGGTAGTAGAGGGACTGAAAAATAAATGTTGACCTTTACTCTCTGGGGTTTATACTCTAATTGGATAGTCCCATGACTATATATAGCATAACCATAAATCACTCCCAAAATGTGATAAACATCAAAGGAATTTATACTTTTAAGTGTGCTTTGAGATTGAAGAGGAGCAAATGATTAATTCTTTTCAGGGATTCATGGAAGCTTGACAATAGGAACAGGTCTTTTAGGGAGAAGTAGTATTTTTCAAAGCCCAAGAAGTAGTAGGGAAACTACCTTAGGTCTGGGAAGATATTTGTGTAAAGATGAGGAGAAATAAAGATGCAAATTAAGTTCAGAGAAGTATGTGTAAGGTAGCCTGCCTACTGAGTAGGGAAGATAGAATAAAATATAGAAGTATAGAAGGAGGTTGTGTTTATGGGTTGCCATTAAATTGTTGAGGTTCTTTAATGCCCACTGAAGTATGGTTTCCAAGAGTAGCTGTGAGCTTCTTACACTCAGGAAGGTGAGGAATCAGAAAGCTGCTTTTCTTGTCA